TCTCGTCCCAAATTCGTCCCAAAATTATTTTTTATCCTCCCTGACACTATTTTTTTCGACGACGGGACGTCCTTAAGCTCGAGCCCTGTGGTGGCAAGGCCTATTTTCAGGATAGCAGTTGCCCCCCCAGGCCACCCCAGTAGGTGAAACTAGGCTACTAGCTAAAGTACAGATGCAACTAGATGAGCTGTTAACTCTCGCTGACTTCTTTTTTTTAAACACACGCATTTTTCCCACCCGCATTCCGCGAAGACCCGCCCTACTGTGCCTCTGATTCGCAGACTGTTGGTGGGGGAAAAAAACGCTGACGGGATGCTGAATGTGATTGGACCAATGCGTTGACAGACACACACATACAGTGGAACAGTCGGACATGCAGAGCGCTGTTTGTAGTGGACATAGCGGAACATTTAGACTCGTTGCGTTGTGACGATGTCTCGCAGATAACACATATGAAAAGTATAATTTGCTCAGAGTCCAGAGACAGTTGTGGTTCGGTCCGGATCCGGACCGGAGTCCGGACTTTGAGGATGCCTGGTCTAGGGGTTCCATGTGTATTATTGTTTTTATTGCACAAATATAACCAGGATTTTTTTTGAGCTCATGTAGTGTGTACATTAGGAGCTGCTGGTGGCTTACCTCCGGGTAGTTCTGCCCGAATGATTCTACAAAAGGAAAAAGAAAAAGAAAAAGATTTCAAAAAACAGAGCAACAGTCTTCCAGGAAGTGCCAGCTGGCTCAGAAACACAACACACATATTCTGTGTGCTACAGCAGAGCCTTGGAATAGGATGTATTTATTTGAACAGAGATCACTTTTATACGCATGGGATTAAAGACAGATATTCATTACATATGCATCGAGAAAATGAGTATGTCATATTCACCAGAAAGAAGCAGGAAGTTATCCATGAGTAAAGAGAGAATTCTTCAAGTTTTATCCAAAGTCTGAGCCAGTTATTAATAAGAAAGAACTGTATGGATGGACATTTACAAGAGAAAAAAAATGTACCCAATATTAGCTTTCAAGTTTTCACCAACAAAACGGTGAAACAACCAATTTACAACATAACTTTAGAATGATCATACAGGAGAGTGGACAAGAGGAAGAGTCTGATTTTTTTAATAGATATTTAAGTGCACTTATTGCCATTAAAACAAGAGCACTGCAATCAGTTACTGTGCTCATATTGGCTAATCCTCAATAAATCTTTGTTAAAGTAATGAATACAAAACTGACCCTCTCCTCATAGACACTGAAGCTGAAGACGTTGTCTGTTTCTTTAAGTGTAGTTATTCATGTATGTAAAATGTGGTCTTTGATTCAATAACAAAATGTATTTATGCAATTTGCACTTATTTCTCCTGTTTGTATCTCAATATTGATTTTTTTTACATTGTTTCCCCTCCATGCGTATAATCTTTCTGAATGGTAACGTTACCCCCTGTCAGATGGAGCAGCTGTGCATTGTTTATTTCCTCATCATTCTAATAACTGTAAGAGCTTGGAAGCAGTGGAGGAAAAAATAATATTAGATATTATTATTATTATTATTATTACAAGGTAAGGGAACGGTCTGTTACTATCACATGAAGAAACATTTAATTCAAACACAATAAGAGACAATGTACCTAGGCTAATGTTAGCTTGCAGCAACATGTAGCTGCTACTATCTTTTAAAGCAGCGTTTACATTGATGTAAACATATTACAATGCATAGAGTTTAAAAAGAGATACGTTATAAACATATGTAACACACCTAAGCGGGTTTATTATATTAACAAATGTATTTATATTTGCCTCTTCTGGGTTGATGTTAGCATGCTAGGCTAACGTACAATGCCAACCATAACAAGTAGCCTTACAGCGAAACCGATTAAAGAAATGTGGGATCTATTTAAAACAAAAACAAAAAAGCGGTATTTACCAAGCAGATCTAGATTCATTGTTGGACGACAGAGGATCCCAATGTCTTTCAATACTTTACTTCACAGAGTATTTGTAATAAAGTTCACTCGTATTTATTTCTGATGCTAGTAACGGAGAGACTGGCGCCGAGCCTCCAGTGAGGACCCCAAACAATGCGTCGTAAAACATGCCTGAACAAAATGCCATTATTACAAGCGTAACATCCATCACTGTACATTTATACCTCACTTATACGTTTTCAAGAAAGAGAAGGAACTTTGCATTGAGATAATAACTAAAACATAAATCAAATAAGATCAGCAAATGAAAAAGACCTGTTAAATGGTTAATCTCAAATCCAAATGTGATGACCTTTTATTTATGTCAAGCCCTGGCATGTTGTATTTTATTTTGTGTTCATCCAATCATTTGATATATATGTAACTGTATATCTGTTGAATTCGTAGACGTATATATGTATATTTGTGTTGTACCATTGGGCTGTTAACTGGTTTAAAATAAATACAATAAAAAACAAAAATGTTCTGGTAAAACCAATGTAAGTTGCATTATCAACCACACATCGAATAAGAAAGTCGAATCAAATACAATTTTGATGTGCTTTTTACTGTTTTTACATGTTTCCAATGTATACTACTTTATAGGCTACTTCTACTCACTACATTTGACAACTTAAATTACTGATTTCTAGTTACTTTGCATATTACAATTATTATTACAAAATATAAAACAGCGAATGAATTTGGGATATATTGTTATTGTTTAAGCTGCACATTAAAATCTAAAGTAACTTAAATGACCTCAACTTTTACTTGCTACAACATTAAAGTAATACAGGCATCAATCAAGTACCTATGTTTTCTGTATCTATGGGCACAGGTGACAGTGTTCATTCTAATCTGTTCTTATGAGTGGATAAAAGTTTCAACCAACATCAACATGCAGCACCTGCCCTTGACTCTTATCTGTACACTACCTTCTATATGTGACTCTATACAGGCCTGCATGTAATTGTGTGTGTGTGTGTGTGTGTGTGTGTGTGTGTGTGTGTGTGTGTGTGTGTGTCTAGCATAAGTCTCTCACACTGAA